CCCGCGACCCTCAGATTGCGAGTCGAGTGGCTTAACCACCTGGCCATGCTGGGGGCCCTAACCACCTGGCCATGCCGGGCCTGATATGTTGGCTGAGAAACATACTCGTTGATCTGTTAAATGTATGTTATAATCTATCATTCGTTTTATTAAATCTCCTGTTTATCTATTAACCATACATTAAATCTCCTGTTTATCTATTAACCATACATTAAATCTCCTGTTTATCTGTTAACCATACATGCCAGTTTATGAAATGTGTACGACAATACACAAATGTGCTCTTCGTTTCCTTAAACTACGTGTTTATTTTCTAATTGTTCGTGTGTCGATTTATAAATCTACATAAACCTACTTAACAGTTTATAGGTTTACATTACATTTTATAGATCTAAGTGGCAGTTTATAGATTTACGTAACAATTTAAAGATTTATGTGACAATTTAAAGATTTATGTGACAATTTATAGATCTTCATGATGAAAAGCTATAGATCTACGCCCCTCCCCCAGTGGCACAGCGGTATGTCTGCGGATTTACAACGCTTGTTTGTTTGTAATTAAGCGCGAAGCTACACAATGGGCTATATGTGCTCTGCCCACCACGGGTATCGAAACCCGGATTCTAGCGTTGTAAGTCCACAGATATACCGCTGTGCCACTGGGGGCTTTTTTTGGGGAGCAGGTGTTGAAGACTTTCTTTATGTTAAGAGAGAAGCATGTTTATAAGAGAAAAAAAATTATCTTGTGTGTTTGTTTGTAATTAAGCACAAAACTTCACAATGGGCTATCTGTGCTCTGCCCACCACGGGTATCGAAACCCGGTTTCTAGCGTCGTAAGTTCGCAGACGTACCTCTGTGCCACTGGGGGGTATCTTGTCTCTTAAGAAAGGTACAGATCGAAAATTATTATCATTTTAGATTACGCCTAGGATGACTGTTCTTCTTCTCTCCATACCTTTTCCACCCCCGCCCTCTTTGTCCAATCGCTTGACGTAAGTAATTACACTTTGTGTCACTGCATTTTCCTTCCCAAATAAACTGTTTCCGTGCCTCGCGTAGTTCCTATTTTATAATAGTGGCAATTTAATTTATTATATAACGTTTCCTTGTGTCTCCATACGCAGAAAATTATAAAGAAATTGGAATGAGTTGGATAACCGAAACTGTTGTCTTATTAAAAGCACGGTAATAAACCGTGTCGAATATCTGCAGAAGAAACGGGCTGTAGTTCTTCGCTTCTGACGTAAATCGCTGCAATTTGGAGTTGGGGAAGGGTGACCTTAAAACTTTGTCTAGTATAGAGAATTAAACGGATATAATTTTGAAAGTATTGCAGATAATAGGCGAGTAGAATGAGGAGGAAAAAAAACTCGAAGTAATATATTTGTTTTCTCTTATATTTCCGTTTGTCTGACAAGATATGTAAAGTTCACGTTCGTTATTTTATCTGCATGCCACTCTTTCCATTGGAGTTCTTCATCGTCTTAATGCGAAGCGATAAAGACGATTAAATATTTATTTTCATCTTCAAAACCTTCCACATTCATTCATTTTAGTTCACTCCAGTCTATTGGAATAAATGTAATCCGTCTACCTATGTTTTTAGATTGGAATAAATGTAATCCGTCTACCTATGTTTTTAGATTGGAATAAATGTAATCCGTCTATCTATGTTTATAGATTGGAATAAATGTAATCCG